GGTACCTATATTTCTCTCCGTCTTCCGACCTGCTCGTGTTCATAGGCGATGCCGATCGTATGCGGCTGTTCGATATCTTCCGAACAGTCCAGCAGCAAGATCCATTCCACCGGGGGTTACAGCGCGTGGGGGTAAGCTTGAGCTGTTGGGCGTACAACTTCAATTACGCGGCCCTGAAGCTCTGGAAAGAGGCCTTCCTTACCGAATTGGAGGACTTAGTAATTGTCATGTATGATGAGCAGAAGCCGCCCAATAGCTTCCGGCGTGGTGAAGCTGGGTTAGAGCTAGTCATCGGTATGGATTCGTTTGCTCGCATCTTTGAGACAAATGTGCGGAAGTTTTTCAAATTTGGTCATTTCCGCCTTATGAATTTGACCTTTAGCGCTGGGACAGCGCCTCGTTGTGGTATTTATTCGACGGCTGCTGGTTAAAGATGAGTACCATGAAGTCTATAACGGTCCAATTTTTTACAATGGCTAAATCATACCTCACCAACTGATGCTTCGTATCTAAGTTGGTCTAAGACATCTGTTGAGGTATTTCAACTCAGGTGCCTGGCAAATGGCTATCAAGCGCTTCCTTAGATATAAACGTCAATAAGCCAGCCTTCTATCACATACGACCATAGGATCTGGAGAACTCGGGGTCCCGTCCGCTCCCCCATCGATAAACCAGATACCGCCGGACTAGTAGTTGGGTCGGTGACGACCAGCGAATCCCCGGTGTTGTATGTTTTTGTTTTTCTCTCTCTTCTTTTTACCCGTTTCTCCTTTTTTTTCTTGGCGTTATATAGCCTTACCCTAGCTTAGTCTACTCAAGTGGGAATCACAGGAGCATAAAGGGCTCTATTAGCTCAAATCTGCTGTAGACCCAGGCCTTTACGAGGCTCAGGGGATACATGGCAGGTAGATATTATTAAGGGGTGGAATGATGTTGATTTCGTGAAGTTTAGTATTATTGGGACGAGGCCTACATAGTAATACTAGTATATGTAACTAGTGATTACGTAATTATAGTCACAATTAGGTATGTGGTTACATATTTTTAAAGAATATAATCCAGGTAGTTACATTATACTTAAGTCTTAATTGTGCGAAGTTGAAGTTCTTTTGTCCTATTGAAAATGAACATGTATATATTGACCTGGGGTTGTAACTTGTAGAACAATGTCCAATCAGCATCAAGCCCGTTCAACCTTGGAACTTACATACACACCTTGTACTACTTGATAATATTCACCACTGGTGGTACTTAGACCTAAAAGAACTTCATAAGTGTTTTAATTATGATCATCGAATGATTAGCAATATCTTACAAGGAATATCACCAGTGGTTTACCCATTCTACCGTTCCGATGGATCGAGATGTAACATATTTCATATATTTAAGCCGTATATTTAAGCATCCGGTTACATTATATACACGTGAGAGATCTATACCACCTTAGGTAGGATAGACTTGGATGGGTTGTAAGTGGATGGATAACTTGTGATATATACTAAAGATTTACATATTGCACTCAAGATAAAGTAGTTGCGACGATCCGGGGAAGTGGTACTAGAATACGATGCATAGGTAGGCTTAGCTAGGCTGAATTGACATGCTGACAAGGTAAGACAAGAGAGGAGACGATCATCGGAGGCTCTAAGAGGTCTCGCGTCTAAGACAAAGATACCTAGGTAAGTTTTGCAGGTTTCAAAGCCATGTGGCAGAAAGTACAATACGTATATAGGTTAGGTACCTAATTACTGAGGTATGTACACATACCTCTAATACACATATGTATACCGACTACGTATAAGTCCATGTGCATTATGCACAGTTATACAATACGACCCCACACTCCCGCAATCGCTCACGCTAAACATGATTTTATATCCAATGGGGTCGAGTCCCTGTCCCTCATTGGTCCGTATTGCCCTAAACGGCATCCCGCCGGGTCTCTACTGTGGTGGTTGCAACGCTGCTGCTTCTCTTTGCTTGTCGTCCTATTGTCGTACAAAGAATACGTATGTACTCCAAAGATGGGGAGAAAAAAAGTCTACATGTAGCCTTCCCCATGATGAGGATGGGGGAAACTTCATCAACTTTCTTTTCCCCTTGTTTTATAAAACTTTGCCATCTTACCGGCTATATGACCTCATTACTTTACATAGGGTCCGTAATAGTTTTCCTTCTTTCTTTCTGACGGTCTTACATAGTTTCGGAGCAACTGGTTCCATGTTGGCTGGTCGAAGGTTATCAGTGGTACTTCAACTTAGCAGCATCTACCTACCTTCTAACTAACAAAAACGATCCCGGGAGTCTTGCTAGAAGTGGATTTGAACCATTGATGCCTCAATTCGACTTAGCTACTGATTGCTAAGTAGCGTCGAACAACATCGTTGCCCCCACCCCGTCACGAATAAAGGTTAGACTGCGGCTTATAATTCCCGCCCACGCCATTTTTCCCTTAAAGCCAAGCAGTCAGGTTCGGCGGTGAAGGGGAGCTACTCCGATGTGACGATCCTACTCAACCTGGAGGGACACACAAGACACACAAGTCGCAGGCATACACAAACGTGTCCTACCTGAACCTTTAGGGTAGTAAAGTCACCACATAGTTATACCTTATTCCCCTTTCCAATTCCTATTCCTCCGTCTAACCCCCCCCTTCGTCGTTCCCGTTGTCGAATATTCACCCCTAGAAAATATCGACAACATGGCGGAACCTACAAACACCCCAATGCCAACGGCACCGCCAACCCCACGCTCCACCTCCCCCGCACTCGGCGCCACACGCCCTGGCAACACACTCGGTCCCCCCAAGCATATCGGGATACCAACGTCAACATCCTTGTCCGTGCTGGGGGGTCCGACGGGGAGCAAGCCCGTTGTGCTGCACATCGGGGATCCCGTCAAGTACAACCCGGAGACTTATATGGAATTCGTGGGCCAGTTCGAGGTCGTACGCCCGTCTGTTGATGAACGTCAAAGGCCCGCCTTCATCCAGGCCCTGCGCGAGAAGCGTTGGGGGGACTTTTCCGCTATCTTCCGCCCATTTTGGGGTACCGGTGGTGAGATGGGTAATTGGGATGCAGAACTCATCTCTCTACTTCCCGATAGCGTCAGAGTCTTTGCTAGCGCCGGCACTGGCTTCGACTGGGCTGACACGCAGCTGTTGGGCGAGAAAGGTATGTGATAACTCTATAAAGTATATCTTATATTGTGATCTTATTTCCCCATGCGCGCAAGCTTGCGATCCGTATAAAAGGGGCTAGACTCGTGTTAACAACTCGTAGGCATCGTATACTGTAACGGTGGACTTGCCGCTGCGGAGGCTGTATCTGACTTCGCCCTCGCGATGATCATTTCGACGTTCCGCGTACTACCATACCTCATCTCGTCGGCAGCAACAGCCGACAGCTTCCAGACATGTCACGCGAACGCAACGGCGCAATCGCATAATCTACGTGGCCGTGTTCTAGGGCTCGTCGGGCTTGGGAACATCGGCCAACAGATTGCGCTTAAGTGCAGCGCTGCTTTTGGTATGGATATCGCATATTACGATGTTGAGCGCAAGCCGCCCGCGCTCGAGACTCGGTTGCGCGCGCGCTATGCGAACAGCCTCGAGCAGCTTGCGCGTCAATCGGACTGTATTGTGCTATGTGCGCCTGGTGGTGCAGGCCAGATTATTAACTCAGAGAGCCTTAGGTGGTTCCGACCTGGTGCGCGCCTTGTTAATATCGCACGAGGATCCCTCGTCGATGATGAAGCGGTGGCCGATGCGCTAGAGCAGGGCTGGCTCAGCAACGTTGCCCTCGACGTGCACACCACCGAGCCTAATGTTCATCCTAAACTATTAGCACTTGCGGGAACCAAAGCTCTCCTTACTTGTCATAATGCTGGCGGTACTGTCGAAACCCATATCGGCTTCGAGGAGCTCGCCATGCGCAATATTATGGCTGTGCTGGCAGGCGGACAAGCTATCACACCGGTTAACACACGGTGGTTGAGTGGAAACGCCACATCATGAAAGGACGCGACTGGATATATGGCAGGTTTACATCGGCCGAAAAGACAAACTTTACGTTACTAAACAGTAATACGGCATTGAATGACTCGAAGATATACGTTTTTTGACGTTTCCATTTTTCTTCCACCGAGTGAGCAGACAAGCGAGCAAACGAACGGTAATATAACAAAATAGCGAGGTTTTGCTCGGCGAGGATCAAATACCCATAGATGGAAGGGAACGGAGCATCTGTAGATAGGGATTTGGGGTTTAAGGGGGGATCGGGCGGAGGTAAAAACGGAGAGTTGGTGTTGTTTGCGTGAGGCAAAAGATATATTTCGCTTGCTTTTACCTGTGTGAAGTTGTAGCCACATGAAGTATATATCAAGTATATACAGTATCAAGTAAATGCCAACTCTGTATTCTGATGGATTGTGTGGCAATAAGAATAGGAGCTATGTTTAGTGGGCTATAGTTAGGAGGTTGTGTTAGGAGGCTATGAACGACATAGTACGTATGTTAGGAGCATAGGGGATGGTCGGCAGTTCATCTCTGCATGATACGTATAAGATAGGTTGCTATCATTGAGGGTATGCCTATATAGACACGTGCTTGAGACCTATGTACGAGACTTCGATCTTGCGATCCTTGACGACCTACGTGTCTAAACCACGCAGACAAAGAAGTTCTCAAGTATACATTACATCCTAGCCCCGAGTACTTGACTTCGTCAATCCATAACTCCGTTCTCCTGCTCATATTAAACGCAACGCAACGCAACGAAACGCAACGAAACAACTGAACCAGAAGCAAGAAGCATCATTAGAGACCGCAGGCCTGTGTGAGATCCTGCCTATGATTTTGATTTTCTCCCCTTTTTCCATACCAGCTTTTCCAGCTCTGCCGAGATTCATCCACTCGGCGTGTCTTATAGACTTCCACACCTCCTCACACTCGGGGCAACTTCCATACCGCAACGAAGAGACTCCAGTCTCATACATCGTACCTACTTAAGGTCGCGCGTCGCCTCAGTCGGCCCTTCGGTGTTCAAAGAGCTAGCGGTAGGCCCCCTGTTCACCCAAAGAACAGCGTCCTGCTCGTTCTGCACGAGGGCGTGCACGCGACCTTCGGCAACCGCCTGGATGTCAGTCGAGTTTAGGCGGCTCTCGACGGTAGGATACAGGGAGTATCGTGGCGGTGGAGTGGCATAACCTTGTACAGGCGAACTCTCGGGGCGTACGCGGACGTGCATTTGATGCCACTCATATCGTGGCGGGCCTGAGGTTCCGGCTTGAGGTTGGTCGAAAACGGTGAAGTGGAGGGCACGCTGAGCCTCTCTGTGGGGAGTCTCGGGAGCTACGCGCGTGTACACGGGGGCGGAGGCTCGGTTGGCGCTGCGCGAGGGGGTGATCGGGGTGGTTGAGTCCTGGGAGTACACGGACGACGAAGTATCAGGCTGGCGCTGGTTGGTGGGGGTACTGGGTTCGGGCTCGGGCTCGGGCTCGGGCTCGGGCTCGGGCTCGAAAGCAGACATAGCGAGACCTCGGGCTCGAGGCGTGGGAGGGGGTTGGAAGGCATTGTCGAGACGGTTCTGAACGCTGTCGTGGTCTGCCTTAGCTTTCTTACGGTAAGCTCGGCAGCTTAACAACATATAGCCGATGACGATGAGACCGATAACACTGCCGATTACGCTGCCCATGATAGCACCGACGCTAATTGTGCTTGTACCAGGGGTTGGTTGCTCGCTGCCGGGGTAGACGCCAGAACTCAGTGGCTGGATGTCGGTAGGAGTTGGGACCGCGGATGCGCTGAGAGAAGCATCCACGACGGACTGCGGAACATCCAACATCGTAATTTCCGTTGAGACGTTAGAGCAACGGTACATAGAGCGCAAAGGTTCGTTGGTCCAGAGGTAAGTTGCACAGGAGCCATAACCACTATCCATGCTAAAGGGGTATGAGTGTTAGTATATATGTCCACGCGCCATATTATTAAAGCAAGGAGAGGTTATAGTTGTAACTGGTGCTCATAGAAAAAATAAGTGCATCTCTCAGAACAGGTTAAAGGATGAGAGGAAGGTAGTAGATGGTAAGAAGGGTAGAGTAGTTGATGAGAAAGGAAAAGATAACTTACCAACATCCAGCTCCCGATCCTTGGTCCTCGCAAAGGCCTTTCTGGTACGCAGAGAAATCCACACATTCCTCAAAGAATGGAGAAAATGTGCCAGAGACACAAGCGACAACATGGTCAGAGTTCGTAGCACAAGTGGAACTTTCTCCGCAAGTGAAGGGGTCAGCTGAGTATAAGAGTAAGTACTGCTATACCAACCCACAAGTGTCCAGTTTCATCATCAAGTATAGGTGGTAACACTTACAAGAAGGGCCCGAAATCCATCCACAGGTCTTGTCATTAAGCCAACTTTTGCTGGCATTCTCCCGTCTAAGGAGAACATCCAACACCTGCTCTTCCTCCGGCTTCGCAACACTGGGAGCGGGAGTCGGCTTAGGGGACCAACCCGCGCGAGCAGCATCGCGAGAAACGACACCAGTCTCGCGGGGGAACCGCCCGGCGCCCACGAAGCTGCCGATGAAGCAGCACACGACCGCAAGGATCAGCGTCATGGAATAACGCATTGTGAAAGATAGGAATCGGACTTAATAAGTGTAGTTGTATCACGGCCTCTAATTGTTCCTTCGAACGAAAGAACGCAAAACGAGGGACAGGGAATAAGGTTTTGTTGCCTTTGTGTAGGGGAGTGGAGGTAGTGCGGATGTTTGACAAGGACTTCCTAGGATCTAGGGTTGAGTCTTTTAAGTGCGAGTGTGGGTGGGTGGCTGCGTGGGAAAATAAAGTAGGAAAGTCAAAACGGAAGTTTGCAGAAAGGATCTTGTGGGATGTGACTCAAAACTCACAAGGTGCCTGGAGGGAAAGAACACGCGGTTGGTAGTCTGGGGGACAGAAAGGCAAACTAAAGCCAGAGCGAATAAGGCGGCTGGGAAAGCTTGGGGCGACTATACCTAGGTACCTGTGCCACTACTAGGCTGCGTCTACGACGACGAGGTTGACGACTGTTGACAGTGAATACAGGTATGGTAACACACTTCGACAGTGCCCTGGTGTTATGCTTAAGGAGGTAGAGGGAAACGAGTTGAGGCTTAGGGCTATGCGAGTAGGGGGGTTACGTATAAAGCCCAGTTGAGTATACATTAGATACATACACGATGAGGCTTAGCTATATCATCTGAAAGAGGTAATTGTCGATTTAATTTACTGCTAAGTCTTACGACTGGGCTGATTTGCTTTCTAGGGTAAATAGACAAGTGAGTCGACAACTATGCCCTTTTCTTAATAGTATATGTCCGAGAGGCAACTATTATAAGTAGGAGATCTTCGCTGGACACAAAGAGGTATAAGACGAAACTATCTGAGTTACTAGACTTAGTCTGTTATGAGGATTCGTAATGTTCAATTCGTGTATAATTTAGATGGTGTCTGCCATAGTTATGGGGAGTGTGGGAGTGTCACTCGACCGTCTTGAGGGCCACATGGTGATACAAGATACCCGAATCCAATCAAGCCATGCCGTGCAACTGTTTCATCCGAAGTGCTCATTTTCTATCGTTCAACCGATATGAATGATAGCCTACCAAAAAGGTTGTTGTTCTCAAAATTTCCCACCGTTTTTGTTCATTAAACTGAGATTCAAGATCGCTTTTTGTATTTGCAATTCACGTTTGCTGTCTGTTGCCTTCCGGAACTCTCTATGCTTATTTATAACTGATCAATCAGTATTCAGATATGAGACTTAGTGAAGCGGGCAAGCCATAATATATCAAGTTGTTAGTAGCCGTAGCCTATAGCCATGTACCGAATTTAAAAACAACAAGTTAACAAATAATTGCGTGAATAGCAAGTTTATATGGATAAAGAAATTGGCACATTTCAAACACTAGCAAAAAGTAAAGCTCGAAATTACCCAATATCTATACATCTTATAATGTCCTCCAGAAACTCAGAACAAGGTACGAAGTTGGGGAAATTCCCGTCCCACACCTTAAAATGGAAGCCGGTGACACTGGCCCACCAATCGGAGCTCCGTATGCACGGCACTCGGCCCTTGCCGGACCCATCGGGAGGGTAGCCAATGAGCAGCCGAGAATTAGGTTTGCTTGGAAGAAACAGGCTGGCCTATTACAATTATGTTGTGATTGATATTATTTTTTTCCGCTACCGCAGCAGTAATGCATGTTGCCGGCTTAAAGGAGACATTTGATGAGGGGTATTTTGTAATTTGTGTAAATCTACATGTAAGTGTGTACTTTAGGTATGCAAGGGTACAAATGTACCTAGGTACTTAATCTAACACCCAGTTTCAATGGTGTAAGTTACATATCAAGGTAAAAGTCTGAAGTACACAATTTTTTTTTATACATTTGAACTTCTAGATAATGACTGGCAATGATGCAAATTGCATGGAGTAAGACTCGATGAAATCTAATATCGCTACTGATTATTGTTTAAGTATATCATAATTGTCGGACACCGAAGCGAGATAGCTAAGACTCGACTAAGCCCGTGATATTTCGAAAACACTGATATTAACCTTTTTCAAATAGATTATCCCGTAAGAGAAAAAAAGGTTATATGAACCAAATTCCTTGAAAACACATTCCGCTAGAGCCCTAAATACTCCTAAACCTCTTATATACTCTTCCAATACTGGTAACGCCTAGCGACCCAAGCTACCCTATTCAACCCCCCGCCAATAGAATGCAAGACTGCTCTAGAAAATAAAATTCAAGATGCCTTCGGCTTCTTTCGAATCAGCCCAGCTCCAAGAACGTTGGCCTTAGGTTCTGACTCGGCCTCAGGACAACTCTGGTCTACAGTAACAGACGCATCGGTCGCACTGGTATCGAGTTTTGCCTTCTTCCGAATGAGGCCGCTGCCAAGCGTATTCACTGCTGGCGAAGACGACGTGGTCTCGTTCGTAATCTCGTCAGCTGAGCGCTTCCGCACCATCCCAGACAAATTGTTGACCGTCCCACTTGTACCGGATGACGCCGTAGAATCGATACTTGTTCTCTCGCCGATAATATCCAATGCCCAATTCTCGCCCATGTTGACTTCCTTAGTCCATCGTGCTGTGCTTGCGGTTGCATGTTCTAGAGTCTTGAACTCAAGATGAAGTAGCACTTCGACAGCTCTCTTATAACTATTGTCACTTAAGACTACTTGGCCCCTTCCATTCTCAGGCCAGAAATAATATGGCGTCTCAATTTGCTTTGGGAATTGGGCCCGTTGGTGCGTTTTGATCTGAGGTTTCCTAGGGATGATTGGGCCGCTTAAGACTTTCTTTGTCTTGCGCTTCCGTCGAAGTTTTCTAGCTCTTGGGGTATTCAACTTGGACGACGAAGCACTTGGAGTAGCAATAAAAGTATTTCCCCGTTTAGCTGCGCGGGGTGAGGTGGGAGGCGTTATGTCATCAGCTGGAGTGCTGAACGAGGCATTCGGCGTGAGAATAGTTGCCGCGGACTTGACAGTTGACGAGCTAGATTTTGGATTGGCTTGGGATTCGAAGACAACCCACATAAATCCAGTTAATCTACCGCTAGAACACTCTTGCCGGAAGGCCATCATCTCCCAGAATTGATCCAGTGTCTTTGGCGTCTTCCAGCCATTTAGTAGCTTGGCCTTTTCAGCAATGGATTCCTCTAGTTCTTGAACAAACCGGGCCTTAGGGTCGTCTGGATACGTTGGGATGAGAGACCTAGGATGAACATTGGCGCCAAAGCTGCTTGGATCATTTGCATACGGGGATATCTTCTCGAGGGGGTGATTTAATGTCCAATTCGACGTTGCCAGACTAGTCCGAGGTAAAAAGGCGCGAGTCTCATAATTGTCTAGTCCGGGAATAACCAAGTATCCATGCATAGCATCCCAAGGCTTCCTCACATCTTGATAGTCGGTACCTTCAAGCAGCGAGTTGAGCACACGACACCACCACTTCACTAAGCCTCTATCATCTAGCACGTGCTTGCCACTGTTTTTTACGCTTCCCGGAAAAAGATACTGCGATTGAGCTCGGGCGAATAGATTTACGACTAGTTGTTTTGTTGGTCGTCTTCGATTGGCGACTAAGAAGGCAAGAAAGCACGTTGTAACTTCTCGAATTGGAGATGGTGTCCCTTTGGGGAGGTTCAAGAGGTTCAAGTATCCAGTAGAATCCGCCTTACAGACGAAGATGATGGTAGAGAATGATGTTGTATATATGTAGATCTCTAGTCCTAGAACCAAAACTTGATTATCAAGATGCACCCCCTCTTTCCCAACTCCAATCGAGATAGCCAAGAAATGCTTTTCGCAGTACGTCTTCAACGGCTTACTTGGCCGCCTGTCTGTGGAACCGTTGGGGGGGTTGTGCGCGGGGGGGTGGCAGAGAGGCTCGGTAATCGTGGGAGGCGTCGAGAGATGATAGGCCGTAAACTTGCGATCTTTAGGCAAGACTTTGGCAAGCTCTGCGACTAGAGGGTGAGGATCGACGACGCGATCACTATCGCGGGTTTGCGCCGGACTAGTCATTATTAAAGAGAGCAAGAAAACGAATGGAAAAGAAAATAAAGATTAAAAGCCTTAAATGGCACCTAGAGTTCAAGAGCCCATAATGCTGGGTTCGATGAGAAGAATGACTCCGGTAACGAAGACGCGTTTAAGAAGACAGGGCGTGTAAGTGGTGGAATAGAGGGAGACGAAGAAGATCAATTAATGCAAGGGCCGTAGAAGTTGTACACCAATTATAGAGCACTGACGAAATGACTGATTAGCTGATAAGCTGATAAACAATCTCCGATAAGCTAGAGGCTGATATTTGTAGCTGCTGATTGGACAAAGATTTCTAGCGCATTGTCCCACCCGAAAAAGTCCCACCCGAAAAAGTTCCGCGGCAATTGAACCTTCGTCAATTGCGAAATTCAATTTATACTTAGGCTTACGTTTTTGATAATGCGATGAAAAGGGCAAGATCATAGCCAATGGCCTCTACCACCTCCCGATCCACTACGAGACTTGCTCGTCAAGCTGTTCGGACTTGCTCGAACAAGTCCGTAGCTTCTTCTTATCACCCCGCCGCATCTTTCTCGACCTCGACAACCCGCTTAACACAAGATCTAGAGCAACGCCCACGATGGTCCTACACACCAGAACGGATGAAGGCGCCCTTCTCGCCTCATATCACGAAAGACCCCTCTAGGTCGCAGTGGGTAGTTAATAAGAGCCCGGAGAAGCTAGATGATGCTTTAAAGAGATTCTTAGGTCCCGAAGGAGAGCGCATGCTGCCCGACGAGCTCAAGTGGTTAGCGGTAACCCACAAGAGTTTTGACCAGGGACGAAGGGGTTTCAACGATCGCCTAGCATTTCTAGGTATGTTCCTTAGGAGGAGATATATATATATAGGTATACATGTCTAGCATATTAACATACGACCCCAGGTCGCCAAATATGTATATTCGAGTGCACACAATCCATTATCAACTCCCCTTCTAGATATAAAGGGTCTGAGAACGATCCTTTTGCGGATCGACGAGAACCATTTGAAGATCCCGCTCTTCGTGGGATCGACAACCTTTTTGAAACA